TGCTTCAAAAGAAATTAACATCAAAGTAAAAAGGCAATCCACAGAAGAAAATACCTGCAAATCATACATCCAATAAGGGAGAAATATACAGAATATAAAACTCAATAACAAAAAAATTTGATTATAAAATAGGCAAAGTACTTGAATAGAAAATATCCAAAGACGATATACAAATGGCCAATAAGCACATGAAAAGATGTTCAACATCACTAATCATTAGGGAAATAAATGCAAATCAAAACCACAAAGAAGTATCACTTTATATCTATTATGAAGACTATTATCAAAGAAAACAAAACCAGAAAATAACAAGTGTTGGCAAGAATGTGGAGAAATCTGAACTCCTGTGGCCTGTTGATGGGAATGTAAAATGGTACAATTGCTGTGGAAAATAGCATGGCAGATCCTCAAAAAACTAAAAATAGATACCATATGATCCTGTAACTCGATTTCTGGATATATAACCAAAAGAACTGAAAACAGACTTGAAGATATTTGTATGCCCATGTTCACAGCGGCATTATTCACAACAGTTAAAATGTGGAAGACACTTAAGTGTCCATTGACAGATGAGTGGATATACAACAGAATACAACTCAGTCTTAAAAAGGAAGGAAATTCTGACTTATGCTACAACATGGATGAGCCCCTGAGGACATTATTCTAAATGGAATAAGCCAGCTGCAAAAAGACAAATACTCTGCAATTCCACTTACATGAGACTGTTGTAGTCAAAATTGCAAAGACAGAAAAGTAGAATGTTGGTTGCCAAGGGCTTGGGGGGTGGGGGGGGGAAGGAAAAATGAGGACTAATTGATTAAAAGGTATAGAGTTTCATTTTATAAGATGAAAAGAGTTCTGGAGATAGATGGTGGTGATGGTTGCATAACAACATGAATGTACTTAATGCCAATTAAAAATGGTTAAGATGGTAAGTTTTTTTATTTTTATTTTTTATTTTTTTAAAGATTTTATTTATTTGACAGAGAGAGACACAGTGAGAGAGGGAACACAAGCAGGGGGAGTGGGAGAGGGAGAAGCAGGCTTCCCG